GTGACAATCAACCCTCTAATGTCAGTACCTTTAAACAGAGTTATCTCCTGGTCACACTCCCTGCTCCTCCTGCATCAGTGGGGGCATGGGGTGCTCTTGGTTAAACGCTATTGATGCCGGGGTTCTTGTTCACGGAGCTGAAGAATAACTTCGCAAACACTCAAGGAAGGAGAGCAAGGTAGAGACTTTTATTTAGAGATAAAGTGGGAAGACAGAGCTCCTGGCTTACGCCAGGAGGGGACAAGAGAGTCCGTGGTTGTGCTGTTGTCTATGGCTTTTATGCATGGTTGAGGATTTTCAGGAATAGGGGCAAAGGGCTAGGGGTGCAGACTTGTTGTAAGACCTTCTGCCCTGCCCACAAGGTGGGCTGGGTTGTTGTCTGTTTGCTTGGGCTGTTTATAGTTGAGATTGCTTACCAAATTAGTCTTTTGCCTAGGTTGCAGACTGCTTGATTAGGATTACAGAATGAAAAACATCACATAGGTATAGTAAAAATAAGGTGGGCCTTTTAGCAGGCTAAAGTAAGTTTTACAGTGTTATGATCTAATTGATACAGTGAAGTCATGGTTATGCTGAAATACTCTTCATTTGTACAACACGTAAACATTCCAGGCCAAGTTGCTCCTGGCCTTTTGAGCTTTCTGATATCACTGAAGATCTTTATATTCCTAGTCTTGTATCTTTACCCTGGAGAATTAGTGTGACTCTGACTTTGCATAATGCTTAACACAGAGTGTCCATAGGGACTTCTTGGCATTGTTACATTGTTCTGACTGTAATTATCTTGCTTTGATTTTTTTTCTGGAGGCCCTCACTCTACTCTGCCTAAACCCATGGTCCCTGTCTCACTGTCACTGTCTTGAAATTCTTCATAATTTCTTAACAAGGGGCCCTGCATTTTAATTTTGCACTGAATTCTGAAAATTACTGTACGTAGCTATCCTGGCCCTAGGGGAGGGGCGGAGGAAGCCAGAATGTTAGAGGTGCATGCAGGGAGTAGGGAGCAGCAACCAGGATCCGTCCAAGATGAAGTGTCTCCTATTTTAACAATTGGTATGGCAACCAGTGCATATCAGTTGAACATCAGCCCAGAATGTAGGTTGGCACGACATCCCCTAGAAGAAAGCCCATATTCACTAGGACAGTCATGAGGTAGAATGATTTCTTAGCTTGGAAATCAGAATTCAGAGGGCAGGTGAGGCATGCCCCTTTCTCTCCGAGTCTCCTTTTCATAAGTGTAGATTTTGAGGAGGAGAAATAGAAAGATGTGGCCTCCTGGGTAGTGAGGGCTAAACACAGCACCCATTCCATGGCATCAGCACCTGAGGGTCTTACCCTGTCTAATGAGCAAGACTTCCTTTGCAAACAGTGAATGAGTATTCCCTCCCCTCCCCTCTTAGCCAAGGTTAGCAAGTACCCAGAATGCATACTTTCCCCTTCTTATCCTCTTCTCTGCCAAGGCTGTGGTGACTAATCATGTCTCTCCTTCCAGTTGATCCTGGATTTAGCCTCAGGGTCCTCCACACAGCACCTGAGGCAGTCGCTGAGGATCCAAGGAGAACCTCAGCCATCACAGCCCTAGCCTTTAGTCAGGCCCAGCTTAAATGTTTCAGTCGCATGACAGCCATGCTATGGCGTTTTGCTGTCTAATAATTTGTCTGGTCTTTGTGCTGGATTCCTGGGATGGAGCCTCTAAACTCTTGGAGTTTCCTGAATGCTAGGAGTGTCTTTGTGATTCACAGGGGGCCCTGGAACCACACCTGAGTTTATGCTAACAGGGTGACTTGTGGGTGGGCCCTAGATAGTTTCCAGATGGGGGCTGGCCATGCCAGGAGGACCAACCATGTGACCGGAGACCTGGGACTTTGGGGCCTGTGATATCAGTCCAGAGGCTGGGTGGGGGGCTGGGGAGTGAGTTCAGTCACATGACCAGTGGTTCAGTTAATCATGCTTTTGTAATGCAACCCCAAGAAAAACTCAGACACTGAGGCTTGGTGAACTTCCTGGCAGGTGAACCCATCAGTGTGCTGAAGCGGTGATGTGCTCTGGATTCCACGCGGAGAAGATACAGAAGCTCTGAGTTCAAGACCCCCTCCAGACTTTTCCCTACAGGCCTCTTCATTTGTTCCTGATTTGTATCCTTCATAATAAAACCAAAATTGTAAGGATAGCACTTTCCTGAGTTCTGTGAGTCATTCTAGTGAATTATCAACCTGAGGGGGAAGTGAGAAACCCCAAGTCTGTGGTCAGTTGGGCAGAAGTGAGGTGGCCTGGGGCCCCCTGAACTTGCATGTGAAGCCAGGGCAGCTTTGTTGAAAACTGTGCTCTTGACCTGTGGAGTCTGCACGAACTCTGGGCACTCAGGATCAGCACTGCACTGCAGTACTGCAGGTATGAGAGGCAAGGAGGAAGCCACACTTCCCTGAGGCTGCCGTGCTGGCAAGAGCTGGAGATGAAGTGGTCTCCAAGGGCAAAGCGGATGCTTCCAGATCTCACCTGCCCTTGCAGCCCAGGCATCCTCCCCAGCTGCCAGCCTCAGAGGAGCCGGGCATTTAGTACTGAAGTGTGTGAATTTCCCCAGGCCTCACAGGTACAGATGAGGCCATGTTCATGACCTTATTTCTCAAGTTCTTCCCTACCTCCACCCCCGCCAAATGCCTGTGCCCCATGAGAATTTCTGGGAGTGCCCTGGGTGTCTCCTTGGGCTCACAAACAAGCCTGGTCAGCCTTTCTGAGGTCTGCTGGCACTGCCGCTTCCTCCCAATAGCACTGTGTTGGGTGTGTTCCCTGTGCCTCTCCAGAGCCGCTCCTCACCCTCCGCAGCCATGCACAGTGTCCCACAATGCCCACCTCTATGAAATGCATCATCCAGGCTACTTCGCCCTGGCTTCTGGTCAGGTCCAGCCAATGGAGAGCACTGCAGGCAGGGGCTGGAGGAGCTTGAGGGCAGGGTGTTTATTCCCTGCTCCCTCCCTGCAGTGAGTCGGCTGGTTCCTCTAAGAAAGGCTGCAGCTCTTATGAGGTGGCCCAAATTCTCACCACTCCCTTGCCTGTCCCCACAGTTCTAGGAGAGTTAAAGTCTCCCTGTGATTGCTTCACCTACCCGTGTAAGTTTCCCTGAACACCGTCCACATCTTTGTGAATGGTCCTTCCTCAGACTTCCCTCAGCTACTCAGCTTGAGATGCCATTGGCTCCCCAGTGGGACCCTGACCATACCGACCAGATACACATCCTCCAGCCACCCCACCTCCCCCCGGCCATCACCAGTAACCCCACCGCGTCCTATTGAAGCAGAGATGACTTGGTGCCATGCCACAGTGGATGGCTGCCTGCAGCGAGGGGGCAGGCAGCAGCTCTCCCTTTGTTTCGTTCTGTTCAAGGAGTCTCGGAGGGAGACTGCTCCAATGCCTTTAAGAATTCTGAGGGCAGCAGCTCCTTCTGCTTTACCGGCATGAGGCTGGAGGAGGAGTCCCAGAGCAGGAGGCACTGAGTCCAGGGAGCCGAGGGGCAGTGCTCTCGCATAGAGGGTGCTGCACTGGGGCCCTGGTGCTGGGTCTGGCGGGGGCTCTGCCACTGAATGGTTGTGTGATCTTGGACAAAGCACTCTCAATCTTAGGCCTAGTTTCCTCATCTATATCACGGTGATTCTCAAACTGCTTTGGGCCCCCAGCCTCAGGTTAGCCAGAGTACCTCCTGTTTGATCTATTTTTAGAATTTGGGCTTCTGTGAAGATGTCTTTTAAAGCATGGACTGCACTGCTTTAAAAATGCTTGAAAGTAACTGGACGAGATGATTCTAAGTTTCCTTCCAGTCCTTACTTTGTCTTCCTACTTTGTACAATCTACTTTGTCTTCCTCACCCCTGGGCCCATCTCCTGTCAGGCTCTCTGCCACGGCAGCCATGACCCCATAAATGGTTTTGCTACCCCCCATCCATTCTCAGCACCTTCTCACTTAACCTCTGCCACTATTCCCAGGCAAGGACAAGAAAGGGAAATTTTAAATCAATTGCATAAAATGCAAATCAACCCAGCAAACAAAAATGTGGAAAAGATCACAGCTTTAATATTGACCTTGGGAGGTTTGCAAAGGCTTGGCCCAGGGCACTGGAAGCCGGTAGCCCCTTAGTAGTTCATTCCAGACATTTCGATGCTGGAGAGAATTACAGAGCAGTGATTAATAATTTGGGCTCTGGGATTAGAAAGATATGGGTCAAATCCCCAGCACCACCATTTACTAAGTGGATGATCTTGACCAAGTTACTTTTTTTCATAATCTGTAAAAATCAGTGTAATAATAATATCTACTTTATAAAGTCATCAAGAGGATTAATAGTGAGTTAATGCATGTAGAATGCTTAGCACATGACTGGTACATAGAAAGAACCCCATAAATGAGCTATTTATGGTCATTAATATTGTCATTAGAACTATTCCCCTCGGCTTCCAGGAAGCTCAGAGACCAGAGTTCAATTGTGTGCTCAACTGAGAAACCCTCCTAGGTATCAGTCTCTCCCACTCCTCTCCCATTTCATAGCTTCTTTTAAGAAAGTTATCATTTATTCAACACTTATTATGTGTAGGACACGGAGACACTACCCATCACTTAGCACAGTGCTGGGAATATTGTAGACAATATGTGATGGCAGAATAAATGAATCATCTTATTCGATGGTTCCAGCAACCCTAAGAAGTAGGTATTATTGTCTCAATTATAGTAGATATATTTTTGTCCCAACTGTGCAGCATCTGAGCCTTCTTCTTGATTGTGGGGGATTTGCCCTTGAGTGCAGGTCCCACTCTGGATGTTGAGAAGGTGAAAAGTGCCCCTTGACCTCTGGCAGCAGGAGCACAGACATATGAATTATGTACGACCAATCAGGTCTTCACCTGAGACTTTTAAACCAGACCGACCACCATATTTGGAATTCCTTCTGGTGGGCTGACAGCTAAGGCATCCCGTGTCCTGTGGCACTGGTGGCACTGGGGCCAGCAGAGGGCCCAGCTACTTACAACCTATTTCCACAGCTTTGTTGAAAACTGTGCTCTTGACCTGTGGAGTCTGCACGAACTCTGGGCACTCAGGATCAGCACTGCACTGCAGTACTGCAGGTATGAGAGGCAAGGAGGAAGCCACACTTCCCTGAGGCTGCCGTGCTGGCAAGAGCTGGAGATGAAGTGGTCTCCAAGGGCAAAGCGGAAGCTTCCAGATCTCACCTGCCCTTGCAGCCCAGGCATCCTCCCCAGCTGCCAGCCTCAGAGGAGCCGGGCATTTAGTACTGAAGTGTGTGAATTTCCCCAGGCCTCACAGGTACAGATGAGGCCATGTTCATGACCTTATTTCTCAAGTTCTTCCCTACCTCCACCCCCGCCAAATGCCTGTGCCCCATGAGAATTTCTGGGAGTGCCCTGGGTGTCTCCTTGGGCTCACAAACAAGCCTGGTCAGCCTTTCTGAGGTCTGCTGGCACTGCCGCTTCCTCCCAATAGCACTGTGTTGGGTGTGTTCCCTGTGCCTCTCCAGAGCCGCTCCTCACCCTCCGCAGCCATGCACAGTGTCCCACAATGCCCACCTCTATGAAATGCATCATCCAGGCTACTTCGCCCTGGCTTCTGGTCAGGTCCAGCCAATGGAGAGCACTGCAGGCAGGGGCTGGAGGAGCTTGAGGGCAGGGTGTTTATTCCCTGCTCCCTCCCTGCAGTGAGTCGGCTGGTTCCTCTAAGAAAGGCTGCAGCTCTTATGAGGTGGCCCAAATTCTCACCACTCCCTTGCCTGTCCCCACAGTTCTAGGAGAGTTAAAGTCTCCCTGTGATTGCTTCACCTACCCGTGTAAGTTTCCCTGAACACCGTCCACATCTTTGTGAATGGTCCTTCCTCAGACTTCCCTCAGCTACTCAGCTTGAGATGCCATTGGCTCCCCAGTGGGACCCTGACCATACCGACCAGATACACATCCTCCAGCCACCCCACCTCCCCCCGGCCATCACCAGTAACCCCACCGCATCCTATTGAAGCAGAGATGACTTGGTGCCATGCCACAGTGGATGGCTGCCTGCAGCGAGGGGGCAGGCAGCAGCTCTCCCTTTGTTTCGTTCTGTTCAAGGAGTCTCGGAGGGAGACTGCTCCAATGCCTTTAAGAATTCTGAGGGCAGCAGCTCCTTCTGCTTTACCGGCATGAGGCTGGAGGAGGAGTCCCAGAGCAGGAGGCACTGAGTCCAGGGAGCCGAGGGGCAGTGCTCTCGCATAGAGGGTGCTGCACTGGGGCCCTGGTGCTGGGTCTGGCGGGGGCTCTGCCACTGAATGGTTGTGTGATCTTGGACAAAGCACTCTCAATCTTAGGCCTAGTTTCCTCATCTATATCACGGTGATTCTCAAACTGCTTTGGGCCCCCAGCCTCAGGTTAGCCAGAGTACCTCCTGTTTGATCTATTTTTAGAATTTGGGCTTCTGTGAAGATGTCTTTTAAAGCATGGACTGCACTGCTTTAAAAATGCTTGAAAGTAACTGGACGAGATGATTCTAAGTTTCCTTCCAGTCCTTACTTTGTCTTCCTACTTTGTACAATCTACTTTGTCTTCCTCACCCCTGGGCCCATCTCCTGTCAGGCTCTCTGCCACGGCAGCCATGACCCCATAAATGGTTTTGCTACCCTCCATCCATTCTCAGCACCTTCTCACTTAACCTCTGCCACTATTCCCAGGCAAGGACAAGAAAGGGAAATTTTAAATCAATTGCATAAAATGCAAATCAACCCAGCAAACAAAAATGTGGAAAAGATCACAGCTTTAATATTGACCTTGGGAGGTTTGCAAAGGCTTGGCCCAGGGCACTGGAAGCCGGTAGCCCCTTAGTAGTTCATTCCAGACATTTCGATGCTGGAGAGAATTACAGAGCAGTGATTAATAATTTGGGCTCTGGGATTAGAAAGATATGGGTCAAATCCCCAGCACCACCATTTACTAAGTGGATGATCTTGACCAAGTTACTTTTTTTCATAATCTGTAAAAATCAGTGTAATAATAATATCTACTTTATAAAGTCATCAAGAGGATTAATAGTGAGTTAATGCATGTAGAATGCTTAGCACATGACTGGTACATAGAAAGAACCCCATAAATGAGCTATTTATGGTCATTAATATTGTCATTAGAACTATTCCCCTCGGCTTCCAGGAAGCTCAGAGACCAGAGTTCAATTGTGTGCTCAACTGAGAAACCCTCCTAGGTATCAGTCTCTCCCACTCCTCTCCCATTTCATAGCTTCTTTTAAGAAAGTTATCATTTATTCAACACTTATTATGTGTAGGACACGGAGACACTACCCATCACTTAGCACAGTGCTGGGAATATTGTAGACAATATGTGATGGCAGAATAAATGAATCATCTTATTCGATGGTTCCAGCAACCCTAAGAAGTAGGTATTATTGTCTCAATTATAGTAGATATATTTTTGTCCCAACTGTGCAGCATCTGAGCCTTCTTCTTGATTGTGGGGGATTTGCCCTTGAGTGCAGGTCCCACTCTGGATGTTGAGAAGGTGAAAAGTGCCCCTTGACCTCTGGCAGCAGGAGCACAGACATATGAATTACGTACGACCAATCAGGTCTTCACCTGAGACTTTTAAACCAGACCGACCACCATATTTGGAATTCCTTCTGGTGGGCTGACAGCTAAGGCATCCCGTGTCCTGTGGCACTGGTGGCACTGGGGCCAGCAGAGGGCCCAGCTACTTACAACCTATTTCCTAAGGGGAAAGGTATTGTAAATGACTTTATATGATGTTAGTTTTGCAAGACAGTTTCTACATCTCTACAGTCTGCAACTGGTCCACCATTCCCTTTCCTTCTGTAGTTTGTGAGTTTCCTCGACACTCTATCTCCTTCCCACTCTCCCAAGGGGTTCCCCTCTCAGGATGCTCGCCTTCCATCTCCTCAGCGGATGTTAAGACAGCTCTTGCGGCTTCTAAGAAGAGGAAACAACGTATCTCCTGCTTTTCTTCTCCCGTCCTCCTCCTGCTTACTGTGTGCCCCAGCTATGCCAAAACAGGGCAGTGAACTTCCTCCTCTTGAAAAAGGAAAACCCCTGATTGAGTCTTGCGGTCACACACACATGTGCTGGGGCCGAGGGTGATTCATAGATCTTGCTTAAGGGAAAAAGGCCTTTGGGCAAGCTGGCCAAGGTTGGATTTCCTTTATTTCTTTTTTATTCCCTCCTTGAACTCCTCTTGTGTTCTAGGCCAGTGGTAGACCCCAGGGGGATACCAGGGAACAATGCCTGCACATGATAAGGAAAAGAATATTGGACTTAGCATTAGAAGACTTGGGTTCGAACCCTGACTTGGTCACTCCCTACCTGTGAGAACTTGGGAGGGTTACCGATCCTCTCTGAGCTTCAGTTTCCTTCTCTGTAAAATGGGCTCATCAATGCACATGGTCAATGGATTGCAGGGAAGTTTAAATAAGAATATATTTAAGCATTCATCACAACTGCTGGTTCACAGAAGACCTCCCATAAATGTGTGTTCTGTCAATCAAAAGTCCCCCAGATGATGGAGCCCCAAAGGAAGATGCCCTGGCCCTCTGGCCACCCTAGGTGGGGGTAGAAGGAGGCAGGGGCATTTGAGAGCTGGGGTATCTGGCAATGTGGGAAACACTACTTGCATCTGTCATCTATGCTGGTTCATATCAGTTGAATTTTTTTATAATTCTTGGCAAGAAAGTTTGTAAAATAGAGTGGGCTGGGACCCTGAACAAGCAGAGTAGTTGGCATATAATGGAGGGTCACTGGAGGGAAGAGGTGCCAGCACAGAAGGTGCTAAAAAGAAAAATAAAAACAAATTACATTTACAACTCAGTGTTGCCTACATAGTCCCTGAGTGCGGTTCCCCTGTGGCCCTCAGGCGGGGGTCAGGGGGAGTCAGTAAGGGTGCTGGGTCAGGAGACCCGAGCTCTGGTCTCATCTCTGACATTGATGAGGTTAATGAGATTAGGGGACACGTAAGCTCTCTGGGCCACGGCTTCATGAGCTGTGATATAGGGGGAAATGATAGTACCTGCCTCACAATGGTATAAACGATGAACAGGTGACTGATTTTTATGTTTATTGAGACATAACTACATACCATGAGACTGAACCTTGTAAAAGTATACACTTCTGTTGGTTTTCACATATTCACAGAGTTGTGTGGCCATCGCCACTATCTCATATTAGAACATTTGTATTCCCTCCAAAAGAACCCATATCCGTTATCAGTCACCCTCCCTACCCCCGCCCCATCCTCCTTCCCAGGAGATGTATTTTTAACTGTTTAGTGTGTATCCATTTTGGTTAGTATCAAACAGTTGATTAGTATTAACAGTTGATCGTGGCTACAGGACACTCTGCTTCAAAGTAACGTCATAATTAGCTATCAGATTTAGTAAAAACTGTCTTGAGAACTGTCAGGAGTAAGCTCAGTAGGGGAATTTTAGAGATAAAGAAGCTTAAAGAAAGAACACAATTTATGTATTTCTCTCTCACAGAATAGTCCAGGTGATTTACCACCCCATCTTCTTAGGGATATGGCCTATCTCAGGAGCCAAAATGTCAGCTAGAGCTCCAGCCATCATATCCTTGTTCCAGATAGCAGGATGCAGGAAAGGATGAATACTTCATGCCACAGGCCTTCAGGGAGGGTCTTGGAAACTACCATACAACACTTCTACTAACATTTCATTAACCAGACCTCAGTAACACGGCCACACTTAGCTGCAAGGAAGGCTGGGGAACTTAGCCTGATTCCAAACAGCCTGTTAAACGTTGGGATTTACATTATTACAAAAGAGGGGAGAATGGTATTAGTGCACACATCAGTCAGCAAATGCTTTAATAATTCTGCATCACAAACCATACCAAACCTTGATGGCATACAACGAAGAGCATTTCTTTTTCTTGCTTTCAGGCCTGTAGGTTGTCTGGGAAAACTCTGCTTGAGGCTACAGGTCTGCCAGGCTAGGATTAAGGCTTCAAGTCGGCTAATATCCACTCGTCTCCACATTTGCCTTGGACCAACTCTCCTAGGGCATGTTCTTTGCCCAGCAAATGGCAGGAGCACCAGAAGTTGAACTGAGAAACTTGATGCCTCTGGAGACCCCTGGAGTCATTCTTGTCTGCACACCCTTGACAGAAGCCAGTTGCATGGCCATGCCACCGTGCTGGGGGTGGGAGGCCCCCTCCACACACACTAATGGATAGCACTGCAAAGTCACGGGGCCAAGGGTGTGAGTATAAAACTCTAGTACAGGAAGGATTTCGAGGATGCTGAACAATGATTCATCACTGAGGACAGAGGACAGTGACATTGCTGGGAAAGGCAGCATCTGCAGCTTGGTCTCCTGGGCCCTCCCAGGAACCTGCTTAATGCTGCTATTCAACAAATGCAGTCTCCTGCTTGAGCTTTCCCCTCCGATGGGCCCACTTTCCTGGTGGGGACTATGCTTGTCCAGCCTCTCACGTACGTTTCCTTGGCCATGATTCCTCGTTCCTGGCCCCACCAGCTATCCTGCAGCCTCTTCCTCTGAGGTCTTGTCAAGAGAAGCAGGGCACCCCAGGGCTTTAGGGCTCCTCCATGAGGGAACAGCTGCGGTCAGACCCCTTTGCTCCAGTTCCTAGGGGTCCGCTCAGAGTCAGACCCCTTCCTCTGGTCTAACCTCCTGAACACAAAGCTTTCTCAGGTGGCTTTCTTGTACAATGTGGCTTGATGATACATCTAGCAGAGAGAAAAAGCCCAGACAGGCTGATCCTCAAATCCCAGGAAGGCCTGTTCATTTTTCCTGGGGTAAGACAGAATCTGCAGCAGTGAAAAGTCAGAACTCAGATTAGCTTTTCAAAGGGTGACCTTTCCATAGTTTACATTCTCAATAAATCACCTTGCTAAACTGTAATTGATTGAGCTAAGGCAAATTTCCACAAGGTTTGGTAAACCTTCTGGCGTCAATAACTTTCTGTGTATTTCAGTATTACCACTCTGCTTAGTCCGTTTCCACTATTAATGTGATTAAACTTTTCCCTGGGTCAGCTCAAAGTCAACATCAACTACAAAACCTATGCAGGAGTTCGTTAATTCAGGAGTTGGTTAAAACAGCCTTTAAAAATAAGTGATGTCACTTCTCTGTTACCATCTTCTCCCTGGTGTGGTTTTGGTGAGGTCTTTGCAAGCTAATTTCTATATATCCTTTCAGGAAGGTGACATAAAAAACAAATCCCATGTTTCTTATAAAGTTCAACATACCCCTATCTTATGCCCCAAGAATTACGCTCTTATGTATTTTTACCTTAGACAAATGAAAATTCTATCTACCCCACACAAAAACTTGTACATAAATGTTCATAGCAACTTTACTTTAATAGGCCAAAACTGGAAACCCAAATGCTCATCAACAGATGAATGGATGAACAAACTGCAAAACACATATACAATGGATAACTCTTCTGCAGTAAAAAAGGAGGAACTGATGACACAAGGGACAACATAGATGAACCTCCCAGATATTGTGCTGAGCAAAGGCAACTGATCTCAAAAGACTATGTACTGTATGATGGTTCCATTATATGACACATCTTAGTTTGGGTTGCTATAACAGAATACCATAGCCTGGGTGACTTATAAACAACAGAAATTGATCTCTCACCATTCTGGAGGGTGGGAAGTCCAAGATCAAGGCACTGGCAGGTTCCATGTCTGGTTGGAATGTGCTCCTTGGTTCATAGAGAGTCGTCTTCTTGCTGTGTCCTCACATGGTGGGAGAGGGGCAGGATCTCTCTGGGATCCCTTTTATTTTATAAGGGCACCAATCTCATTCATAAGGGCTCCACTTTCACCCCCCAGTGCCTTCTCAAAGGCCCTGTCTCCTAGTATAACCACCCTGGGGTTAAGATTTCAACTTACAAATTTTACAGGGACACATATTCAATCCATAACAGACACTATAGAGACAAAACCAATCTACAGTGATAGAAGTCAGAACAGCTGAGATTGATTGAAAAGGGCAAGAGGGAGATTTCTAGGTAATAGAAATGTTTTATGTCTTTGATTGGTGTGGTGGTTCCACTGTGTATATATTTGTCAAAACTCATCAAACACTATAGGCTAGGTTTGAGTGTTTCACTCTGTATAAATTATACCTCAATAAAAAATATTTTTAAAAAATGAAGATTATTTACTCAAATATTCAAAGAGCAAACTTAGGAGATCCAAGTCCCAAATGTTAATAGCGACATTGTGACCTTCATTCAAGCAGTAGAGGTAACTTGTAATGTGGGCAACAGCCAACAGGCAACATTTTCATTTTGCATCATCAGTTAATTGTTTATGAAAAGATTTTATGAAAATGGGGTATGAGGCTCATCCAATTAGGTTCTTGAAATAATTTTGCAAGTGGATCTCAGCTGCTACTCAGTAAACTCAAAATACCATATGGATGGCCTTTACATCAAAGGCCCATGATGCTCCCTTGCTGAGAGGCAGAGCTTGACCTTGAGTCTGGAGAGATTGTATGGGTGATACAGAGCACCTCTCCAGTCCCAGGTGAAAGATGACATTCTGAAGGCACCTCAGTGGTGGAGGGTACTGTTAACTGGGGGAGGGGGGGTAGTAAGAGCTCTGGACTGGGGGTCAGGATGCTTGTGGGAACACTGTCCTTCCAATAACCTGCACTGACCTATAAAGCTTCCTAGGGCCCTCTTGACACTAAGCCAGAGAGAAACATGGTTGTGACCTTGAGCAATGCATTTGTTGTCTCTCCTCCAAGCTATTCAGGGCCCCAGGACTTCCAGAACAGAATGTTCATTGCATTCCCTTGACCAAAATCCTTTGTAATTCTCATGGCTGCTGTCCCTGCCAGGAAAGGCAAAAATCTCCCCTGGGTTGAAAGTCTTGCTTTGTTTGATGTGGTCTGTGATTGACTCAGGCCATGAGTTTTCCCCTGCTTATTCAACTGGGCAAGCTCTTCCAGCACCGAGCTAAATTAAAAAATACAGCATGCCAGCAAAAACCAGTGCATTAGCTGCAAAGGAAGCTGGAGAGCCCTTTCTCCCTTTTCTGTCAAGTTGCCTTTGGAATGTGCTTCCCTCCCCATCCTGCAGAGGCAGGGAGCCTTCTCAATCAGGGGGGACCATCACTGGGTGCTGTCAGCTGCTGGGTAGTCCCAGCTAGTCTCCTGGTCACTGGCCCCTGAGGTGATCATGTGCAATACACTTCAAGGGCTTAGCAAAGGGTGGGCCCCCTCCCTTCTGCTCTCTCACTGGCACCATCTTCTCGGTCTCACCCTGGAAGCCTGCCTCAGTGGCCTCATGACACGTAACCCCATAAAGGCAGGTACACTCAGCCACATGGTACGGAGCAGTCGTTCAGGAACTTATTCTCCACCCAGCATGAATGTGGACACTGTGCTAACCACTCAGGGCACAATAGTGAGCAAGAGCAATATGGAGTGAAATGTACACAGTGTTCACGCTAACAGCAACAGACCAGTGCCAAAAGGCAATTCCAGTACAGAGCCAGGAAGCACTTCAGGAGCTCAGAGTGAGGACACCAGTTCAGACACAGACTCAGAAAGTGCTTTCCCAGGGGGTATGTACTCTAAACAATAAGTTAAAGTTGTTCAAGTAAAGGAAGGAAGGTACTCTAGGGAAGAAGGAACAGCATGTGCAAAGACCCAGAGGCAAGAGTGGAAAGTAGTTTCTCACACCTGGATGCTCAGAGTAGAAGAGGGCAGGGGTGACCCAGGAGGCTGGCATGGGTCAGGGAGGGAAGTTCTTCAGCAGACAGGTTTCCACAGGGTTCTGGGATAGGACTTCCTGAGGTGAATCTTGGCTCTACCACTTGCTACCCGTGTGATCTTGACAGAGGCCTTCTCTGCTTCAGTATAATCATTGCAGTGCTTACCCTGGAAAGAGGATGGAGAGAGATAATAGACAAAATGTAAAGAGAATTACCTGGCATGTGATGTATCCACTGACGTCAGCCATTAGTGAGCCCCTAAACCCCTCCAGTGAGTCAGGACTGGTCCCAGAGTAGGAGGCAGGCTGGGCCTGCAGGCCTGCAAGTACAGGTCATCAACTGGCTGTTATCCATAAAAGAAATGCTCAACAGAAAATAAAAACTATATCCAGCACTATTATCATCTGATAACCACAGTTCTCTCTCTCAAATAACATTTGAAACGTAATATAATTTCCACATTTACCTGTTGAAGTCTTAAAGCTCATCCAATGAAGAAGCAGCATCCTCCTTTTCACAGAAAAAGTGAAAGATGAGTCTGGGGCCTGGAAGGGACCAGGTCCTCTAATGCCTCCATCACTCATAGGCAGGTAAATTACACTCCTTCCCTCTTCCCCACACTTCTGCTCCAAGCCCAGCAGGATAGCAACTCCCTCCTTTGAAAGGACAGTTCCTGGTAACACCACCAAGGACACACTCGCTGGCCCTGAGGGCTGCTGTGCGGAGGGCTCCCAGCCACCTGGCAGTTCCCCAGGTTGCCAGAACATGGGTGTGTGGCGGGTGGGCAGGGGAAGGCTGGGGATGCTAACTACAGCCGACTTCTTCTCTTACGGGGTGCCCTTGACCTGGCAGCTGCTCTTTGAACCTTCCAATCCTCCCCCCACCTACATCTGGGACACATCACTGTGATCTCAGCAGTCTTCCCAAGGAATGATATTCTTGGCCCAGCTGTTACCATGTTTGACTGATAAATGGGTGTATAGTCCCTTTATATATGAGTTTTATTTGCAATGTTAAATTTCTTGGGGTGAGGAACAATGTCTTTGACTTTTCTCATGTGTACATGGCTCCCAGCATTGCACTAGACACATAATAGTTACTCATTAACTACTTGTGTGTCCCTGTATTGTGATGCCAAGGGAATTTGGTCAGTTATCAGAAAGTTGTTTGGGGACAGTGAAAAATTAGCAAAATGACTTGGACTTGAGCAATTATTTCATGGTCTTGGTCAAGGACAGTTAATAAAAGGAGGATTGAGTGTTAAGGCTACAAGGTAACCCAAGGGCACACCTGCAGGATCCTGGCTCAAGGAGGACCTGGTGTAGAAACACAGGTTTCATTCTCCGCCTCTCTTTCTCTCTCCCTCTCTCTCCCTCTCTCTCTCTCTCTCTCTCTCTCTCTCTCTCTCTCTCGCTCTCGCTCTCGCTCTCGCTCTCGCTTTATCCCTCCCTCCCTGCTTATGTTAGCTTTTTCTGTAGGCTTTTAACATCTCACGATTTGCAGTAACTCATTGTTTTGGGTTACCATGCTTCCCCACATTGCTTCACTTTCAACCAATCACAGTCACAGTGCTGGAAGGCAAGTGTTGGCCTCGTGTTTGGGTCTCTAGTGTTCTTAAAAGTCATTGTGTTCATGTCAATCACACTATGATATACTGATCTGACTAACATCCAACTTTGAAATGTTACAGATTTTTATGCTTAGAACTCAAGCTAAATTGTTTCTGCTATGAATTGCATAATTTACAGGAAAACCTATCATTTGCTCTGAAAGCTTTATGTCAACCTTTGACCCAAAGCATTAAAGTTACAGAGTGTGACTGTCTTCATTAACAGATTTAGCACCATGCCTGAAGCAGAAAAGGTGTTAAAAAATGGTAGCAATGTTCATTTTTTTCCTTCATTAACTTTTGACAAATAAACATACTCAAATGTTACATCTAAGCCGAAAGAGTTAGAGGAAACAGGTAGCAGTCACACCTGTACTCAAGACTCCTGTAGGAATATCTCAAAAAGCTGTAACTCCAGTTCAGGGTTTCTCAATCTTGGCACTATTGACATTTGGGACCAGACAATAAATGTGTAGGGCTGTTCTGTGGAGTGTAGGATATTTAGCAGCATCCCTGGCCTCTACACAGTAGATGCCAACAGCACCCCCTTCCCAACTGTGATGAGCAAAACTGTCTTCAGACATTGCCACATGTCTACTGGGGGAAAGGAAGGTGCAAAACTGTTCCCAGTTGAGAGTAACTGATCATTGTCAAATCCTCTGTCTGAACTCTCACTAAGGGGAGCAAATTCTATGGTTAACAACAACTGTCCCATGAAGATGGAAATCTATGCAATAGGCCTTTTTATTCAGCTCTGCTACCATTTTGAACATCTTTTCTGCTTCAGGCATGGTGCTAAATGTGCTAATGAAGATAGTTTATTTTAGGACATGCTCAGGTCAGGTTGGAGGTGAGTTTGTCAGCAGGTAGCCATCTGAAAGGGATTATTCTCAGCCAAGATGCCAGAGGGACCCACCAATGCAGAACACTCAGAATGTTGGCTACACTATTTTAAAAATATCCTTTAAAAAGTAGGGTTTAACCCTCAGAGGCCCAAGATGAGAAAACCAAATAAAGAGAATTCACCTTGAAAAAACATCTGCTGATCACTGGGGGCTCAGAGCTGGGTTTTCTATGCCTTCTGTACTGGGAATAAAAGTTAAACTCTGGGACCTATGTGGGATGGGAGGTGGGATTAGAAACTCCTTCATCAAGCCAGTACCTCTGAAAGGTAATACTTTCAGTGAATAAACTAGAAACAAGCCCCAACTCTGAAAGGTCTATCTAGGCCTCAGCTCTGAGTGGAATGGAAAAAAAATATCTCTTTTGTGAATTTCTAATTATAAGCCCACTTACACTTATTTTAGGGGCTGGACTGGAATTCACACTCCTTGTGTAACTCCAAACTCAGAGCTAACCATTTAGTGTAAAAGAGTACCACGTTGATAGTATCCCAGGTACCCAGCAGAAGAAATGCAAATCCTCCGGAGAGGAACACATGTTAAACCCACACTCCAAAACATCCCAGCAGATATGGCACCAAAATATGAGACAAGAATAAAGAAATCATAAAATATTTTTTAAAAAGCCACATGAGTTTGAGTCAACAGAAACAACAAACTGCAGAATCAGACCTCCAAAGATAATAAATAAAGAATGACTGGATACATACTAAAATAAATATTTTTAATATGTTCAAAGAAGTAAAAGAGACTAGAAAGTGTGACAGAAAATCAAGAATCTACCAAGCCGACCAAGCAGAAAGGAAGAATGAAAAGTATCATTTGTATCTGACATATTTATGGATGTAAAAACCCAAAAGAATCTCCAAACTATTAGAATTAAATTAATTTAGTAAGGATGAGGAATACAAAGGTAATATACCAAAATCACTTATACCCAGAACAGCCAAAATAATTTTGAAAAAGGACAAAGTTGCAGGACTCATACTTGCCAATTTCAATACTTAGAACAAAGCTACAGTAATCAAGACAGTGTGGCACAAGGACAGACTATATAGGTCAATGGACTATAATTGGGAGTCCAGAAATAAGCCCTTACATTTACAGTTCAACGGATTTTCAACAAGTGTTCCAAAGCAATTCACTGGAAGAAATAATAATCTTTCTAGCAAATGGTATTGGGACAACTAATTAGCTACTTGCAAAAGAATCAAGTTAGACACTGTTTCACACCATATACAAAAAGTAACTCAAAATGAATGAAAGACCGAAATATCAGAGCTAAAATGATAAAGCCCTTAGAAGAAAATATAGGTGTAAATATTCATGACCTTGGATTAGATACAACACTAAAAACACAAGTGACAAAAGAAAAAATAGATAAATTAGACTTCACTAAAATTTAAAACTTTTGCACCTCAAAGGACATGACCAAGAAAGTAAAACAAAAATGCCAGAGTGGGACAAAATTTTTTTGCAAATAACATATTTGATAAATAACTTATATCTAGAATATATAAAGAGCTGCTACAACTCAATAATAATATGACAAATATTCCAATTTTTTTAATGGGCAAAGAATCTGAATATACACATTTCCAAAGACGTTATGCAAATAGCCAATAAGCTCATGAAAAGATGCCCAACATAATTACCATCAGAGGAATGCTCAATGCATGTATGTTTACCTGACTGATGACGAAGGTGGCACCTGCCATACAGTGGGGGAAAGGGAAAAAGATATTCTTTTCTTGGGCAACTGAATAGCCAATGTGCCAAAATAAATTTTGATGCTTACCACACATCATTCCTAACAATCAATTCCATGTAGACTGTAGGTCTAAATGTAAAAGGTTAAAAAACAATCTTTTAGAATAAAACTTGGGATAGGCAAATATTTCTTATCATGACAAAAAATAACTAACCATAAAGGGAAAAGATGATAAATTTGACTACATTAAGATCAAGAACTCTTGTTCATCAAAAGTATTGAAAGTGTGAAAGGCAAGCACAGATTGGGAGATGATATTTACAATATAGAATTCATGTGGCAGGTATGGATACACCAATCAGAAGCCCCTTCAAAAGAGGACCCACTGCTGAGCTATGAGGAGCATGATGAACTGACACCTTCTGCTGTTAGCTCCTTCAGGTCCACATCGACTTTTGAGCCACAGTCCTGCTCTTCTTGGGGTGGTCCTTGACCAGTGATTGAGAAGAGCAATGATGACCAAGCGTGTTCTGTATGGAGTATTCCCAGCCAATGAAAACAAGGCAGTGACCTAGCTGTCTCCACCCACTGTGGGACTCTTCTAATGGCCAGCCTTTGCCCCAGAGCTCCCTGTCAGAGAACTTCGGTCTAACTGGTGTAATCCAATGGCTCCCCCACCCAGTCCGGCTTTCTTTCCCTAGTTTCATGGCTTTCACTCCACAATAAGCTTTTCACACTTCTAAGTCCACTTTGATCTCTGATTCCCAGAGAACTCAAACCAGTTCAACTTATATCCAGAATATAGTTTTTAAAAAACACTACAAATCAGTAAACGAAATGACAGACAACTCAATAGAAAAATAGGTGATATACTTAAATAGGAACTTCATTAAAAAAAAGTGCCCAAATGGCCAATAAACACATGAAAATATTCTTATTTTGGTTTTCTGGTTCAGCTGTAACAAATTCCCACAACCTAGCTGACTTAAAACAACAGAAAATTTTTTCCTTATAGTCCTGGAGGCTAGAAGTTTGAAAGCAGGTTATTAGGAAGGTCACCCTTTTTCTGGAATCACTGAGGGAAAATTCACACTCTGTCTTTCTGGTTTCTGAAGGTGCTTGACCTTCCTTGGCTTGGAGGTGCATCATTCCAGTCTCTGCCTCGATCTTCCTCTTGCTTCCTCCTCTGGGTATATCTAGTCTCCTTCTGCTTCTGTCTTACAAGGACACTTGTTATGGCATTTTGGGTCCAGGTAATCCAAGATAATCTCCTCATCTCAAATCCTCAATGTAACTACATCTGCAAAAACTTCATGCAAGGGAATAGTCACAGCTTCTAGGAATTAGGATGTGGTATCTTTGGAGAGAAGCATTAAGCCCACTACAGCTTGTATCATTATTAATCAGGAAATTGCAAAGGAAATGTGAATTAGGATTTACAATGTGCTACTGATTCACATCCACCAGAATAGCTAAAATGAAAAAGGTAGCATCAAGTGTTGGCAGAAATGTGGAGCAACCAAAACTCTCATACGTTGCTCGCATATAAGTTGTTGAAACTATGCTGTGACAACTGGTTGGCAGTACTAGAGCTGAGCACATGCATACTCTAGAACTGAGGAATTCTAGTTCTAGGTCTGTGGTGGCTTCAAAACAGCTG